AATTTTGCCATTTCTTTTGTGATCGCCTTTGGCAACACATTTCTTGTTCAACCCTTTTTTTTTTTGGCTTATGCATTTTTGCCAATGCCTATAACTTCATTCAATATATAGTCGCTCTGCTTTCCACTTTTCTGCTAGCTTAGAGTCGTTGAAACTTTTGCTTTTAATTTTCTATATTTTTCGCATTGCTTCGTATTTTGCAGCACATAATTTTGGTTTTCGCTACGCTGCGGCAAGGGATTTTAATTTACAGTTAATTGCTATCAGCAATGGTAAGCACACTCTTGGGCGTTGTTATTGCTGGATCGTCAGGCGAGTTTTGGTTTTCATATCATTTCTAATTTTCTTGGAAGAAAAATGAAATGAAATTTCTAGTCTTTTGGAGAAATGTAAGCTATGCATGTTCATATATATGTGTATGTGTATTTGAATGTATGTATGTATGTATGTATTTTATGTCAGTTGGAAAATCCTCTGTATGCAATAGTGCCAAGCCTTCTTGACATTCAAGTTGAAAATGATATCATCTTTTATAAAAGTACCGATAAATAATCGATATAATTCTGTCAACACCGATATTACTTGATTACTTTTAAAAATGTATCGATAATTATATCGATAAAGTTGAAATAATCGATAGATGTATGTATGTATTTATTAGAGCAAGTAATATTGACTGAAGAAAACTCATTTTGTATTTTCATGATTTGAATAAATAAAATAAATCTAGACATTATTTTTTGGTAATTTGAAAACTGCCACATTTTCAAATTGAGCTGTTTACAAACTGAACATAAGTTGCGGGATATATAAAAAGTGGAAAGACTGTTTAGGCTATTTAAAATTTGGACGTAAATTTTTAGTAATTTAAAAACTGTAAATAAATTACCAAATATTTATGTCCAATTTTAAAAAGACCAGTAATTTATGTTAGATTCTAAAATGACTAAAAATGTATGTAAAGTTTGTGAATTAACAAAAAAAAAAAAAGATATCCAGTTTTTAAATGGTCAAAATTTATGCCCAGTTATTAATTTGCTTAAAAGGTATTTAATTAATGTAATTATTTAAATGACCGAACATTTATGCTCAGCTTTTAAATGACCAACAATGTATGTCCAATTTATAAATAAATAAATATTATTATAAATATAAATTTATGCTCGGTTTCTAAATTCCTAAAACTCCAACTTTTGAATCACCAAAAGGTATTGCCCGATGTTTTAATTACCAAAAATGCATGTTAAGTTTTTGAATTACCACAAAAATTATGACCAGTTTCCAAATGACAAAAATTAATGGCCGGGTTTTTAAATAACCAAAAAAATTATGCGCAGTCTGCAAAAAAACACGAAAATGTAAGCTCAATTTTTAAATCAGTTTTCAATAAATTTGTTTCTAATTTTTAGTTACAAAAAATTACCTCCAGTCCAGAAAGTGTTAAAAATTTATTATAAATTTTTACTTTCAAGCGTTCATGTACTATAGTATAATATACATACATATGTATATTAGGGTGGGCTAACATTTTTTTCTCCAGCCACCCCCAGATCTGATGAATATCAAAAATAAGGAGACACGTATTTTTTTTATTTTGAAATCGACTAATCGACCCGTGCTGCCGGGGCTTTGCGGTTTCCCACGTATTTTACATGGGAAAAATAAAATTTTTCGTAAATTGCTATAAAATCGTTAAAAATATTTTTTTTTTATCAATTACAACTACTTGCCTTCAGAAGTCTTCAAAAAATAACACTATGATGCTTATGTAACTTACTTGAAAATTTTACTAAGTTTGTTTTAATAACCGATAATGCTATCAGTTATAAACAAAAATGAGTTATTTTATGTTTTCATAACCACAACACGTACGAATAGCTCAATGGATATATTTAATTTCTTTTCTGCATTCTACCCGATATTTTCTGTAGGTTTGCGATAAAAAGTTTTGAATAATAGGGTTGCCAGATATTTGAAAATTTAAAAGTAGTTAAAGCTCTATACAAAATTTGAGTTTCTTTATCAAAACTAAAAGCGTTTGAAGATATTTAAGAATATTTTTGAACGGGGTTGCCACCTTTCTAAAAAAATAGAACAATGATTATTAAAAATTTAAGCTTACCACAATATGGATATGACACGAAAGGTGTACGCATAAGTTTTGGACTAACGCGATTTCAAATATGGCTGTTAACTGTGATGAGGAAATTATGTAATTTAAGTGAAACGATGGATATGCATTTTTGCACATTCGATAGTTTACCATGGTAGCGACGACATATCGTACTCATTTAAATTTTTTTAGATAGGTTCCAACTCTATCCAAAACTATGTAGGGGTTAAAGTTTTATTTTAACCTCTTTTGTTTGAAACTCATAAGTATTTTACTTAACCGCATGCAGCATGATTTAAAGAAATGTATTATAGATAAATAGCAACTCTATCCAAAAATATTTGTGAACTAAAGTATGCACTTTCAAAAACCTTTGCTGGGAGCGCATAAACCTTCCATTTGATACCCATGTCAAAGTTTTAATAACCGTTGTTGCATTTTTTAGAAGGGTGGCAACCCCGTACAAAAAAGTTTTTAAATCTCTTCGCACAATTTTAGTTTTGATGAAGAAACTTAATTATTTTATTGAGTCTTTAAATAACTTTAAAGTATGTATTTTTGGACCACCCTAACATAATAAACATATATGTATATGTACACATTTGACTACGCTGTCATAAATGTACATTGGTACAATTATTATCACAAACACTCACTCGCACACGCAAGCACATCGTCATTCATTCATGTGCCACTACAATGTAGTGACTACATATTGCAGCTGCAAGGGCATTGTGGCATGCCACATAACAAAGCAAACATGCGCATAAACAAAAGCTTAACAACGAGTCGAACAACAGTTGCAAACGTGATGTGTGCAACAATTATGCCAGTAGCATTAGCAGCGGCAACAGCTGCAATTGCAACAAACACAAAACAACTGTAACGGCAATACAACTGTGCAACAATGGAGGCATTGCTATGAATGTTAATCGCGCAAGTGCCTATGGAGTCGTGCAGTGGCCGTGCACATAATTTCACGCCCATATTCCTGTTCAAAAAGTCATTTTGCTGCTCATTTACACATGCAGAATTATGAATGATAATAGGGGTATTCCCGAAGTCTTGCATAGCACTTGCACGGTTTCCAAAGAGCTGTCTCATAGGAAAACGGGTTTTTATCCGTGCACCTTGTAAGGGCTTTGCAGGACAGTTATGCTGCCATTAAAGACTGGGTGTGGCAAGGAAAGGGCGACAATGTATGTATGTTCGTAGGTGGACAGGCCGTCAATTTTTAACATACTGGCTAGGCACGAAATATACATATATTTCAGAGACCCAGAATAATAATTATTCCATGGTGGAGTTTTAAAAAAGTCTTCGAAATTTTCGTAAGAATCATAAAAATCTTGTGATAATAAATATGTGCGAGAAAAAATTTTTAAGTCATAGATAACTATTATTTTAAGACTTACATAATACAAGTCTTGTATAATAATCATTAGCGAGATAAATGTTTTTAAGTCTCCAAACACTTTTATTTAGAGACTTATCTTATAAAAGTCTTTTCATAATAATTATAATTGAGATAAATATTTTTAATAGCGTTTTCTTTTCTAGAATATCATATTGCGTGCTCTTTCTTTAAAATGTTGCACTCTGATAATGTTGCCATATAAGAAGGCGACATTTTTTGCTCGAGAAAAGAAAACGCCATAAGTTTTCAAACACTTTTATTTTGAGATTTTTATTATAAAAGTCTTCTCATAATAATTATGAGTGCGAAAAAATTGTTTAAGTCTCCAGGGACGGGGCTTGTTCAGTACAATTTCGGGATTAGTTCGAGGCTAGTTTGGATCAGTTCGGGTCTAGTCTCAAAATAAATAAAAAATAAATTGTTTTGATTTTTTGACCTGAAAACATTATGCTAGGCATTTGTAATTAAAAAAAATTGCTGTTTTTGCGTCCATTTCCATGTTCAGTTAAACTATTTCGGTCTGTTTGGATGACTGGCAAAATCATAAGAATTTGCGTACACTACTTTGAAGGAAATACAAAAAGTATCATTTCATTGTTTTAAATTTATTTTAATAAATGGCAGAGCTTTTCAAATTAGCTTGCCGGCGGCATTGTATTTCTTAAATCCAACATTAGAATAGTTCCCAGTTTTTCGTATAGGTGGCAACATTACTAAAAATTAATTGTACAGTAATTGGCTCAATTTTGTTGACGGTAACGGTGCGAAAATGTGTTCGGATAAAGCTCATGCCGGTGCTACTTGTGCGCTGCCAATATTATTATATTACGTTTAATTTTAAAAAATTAAATAAGTTTTACCCTTTATGTAGATGGCAACACTCTTTAAATTGATACATATTCAAACTATACATATACCTATAGTATAATATTTAATTAAAATAATAAAGTTGATTTAGTTTAATTTGTTAAATAAGTGGCAACCCTAGCAAACATGTTATTGCAGTTAGGCATTCATAAACATATCTTTACACTGGTGATATTACTGCTAGATTTTTTTCATAAATTATTATTTTTTCTCAGAGAGTAAAGAGCTTAGACTCTCTAGTATCACATTTTGATCTAAATTTATAACAGAAACTAGTTAAGAAAAATGAGCTAAGGCTACAAAAGTTCTAAGCTCGGCGCACATCAATACTTTCAGCTATGAAATAATGTAATATCATATTTTTCACGTTATTGGCAAACTTGCCAAAATAGAAGGCTTTAACAGCTTATAATACTTTAAACTACGAAACAATAATTTTTTACCTAAATCTATATATTTCATAAAATGTTTAATACCACAAATTGGATATGATTCTTATAGTCGTGGTAAATATGCGTGAATTATTTATTTAAAATCAAGTTTTTTCTTAAAATTATTGCTCAATTATTTAGGGAATATTATTTTATATCCACTTTTTTTAATACTAAAAATAGTTTCACGCTTAAAAAAAGTTTAACTCTAAATGCAGTTTGACTATAAAATAAATTGCTTTGCAATACTCAGAAATCAATATCCCAGCCGCTCGTTTCATCCGGTGGATCAAAATCGTTCTCCACACCGACTGGACCAAAGTACTGCAAGTCGGTGTTACTTGATATTGGCCGCTTTATTGGTGAAGGCAATTGCTTGTATTTCAACTTATTCCAATCGAGATTATCAAACCAGCTACAAAGTAATAGTTTTTTTTACAAAAAATTTCCATTCATTTCCGATATATGTATGTCACGCCACTTACCCATGTCGCTTAATATCTAAAATGCCACGCCGCTGATAGCCCAGACGCTCTGCTGGCAATTGCTTGCATAAATGTTTAATCAAACCCTGTGCCGAGCGTGGTATTTTCGATGGCATTTGTATGACATCGATGCCACCCAATATCTGTTGGTATATTTTGATTTGATTTTGCCCACGGAATGGTGTTTTGCCAACCAATAATTCGAAAATCAATATACCCAAAGCCCAGTAGTCGACCGCGCGATCGTGACCGCGATCTAGAATGATCTCAGGCGCCACATATTCGGGTGTGCCTGCAAAAGTGTTGGTCTTTTGATTGGGCGGTATGTGCTTGGCGAAGCCAAAATCGACCTGTAGGAAAGATGATAAAATATAAACAAGTATGAAGAATTTCACGAAAGAAATCATTCAAGAACTCACCAGTTTACAGTAACCGTCCGTTGTTAGCATTAAATTCTCTGGTTTCAAATCTCTATAAATAATATTATGCGAGTGTAGAAAGTCGAAAGCTTCCACCACACAACCAGCTATGAATTTGGCAGTGCGTTCATCGAAGTAGCGTCGCTTCGACATAACAGTCCAAACATCGCCACCCATGCAAGCTTCCATCAGGAAGTAAACGAATTTCTCATTGCGGAAAGTTTTATACAATCTAAAAACCGTTTAAGTGAAAGCTCAAAAGTTCGATATAAACAAAATCGCTACCTCACTTACTCAATAATAAACGGCGAGCTGCGACACTTCATCATTACATGCTTCTCGCTGTACACATGCTCCACTTGATCCTGTTTGATAACATCAATCTTCTTAATGATTTTGAGCGCGAACGTTTTTTCTTCGTAAGAAACCAAATCCACACAGCCGAAAGCTCCCGCACCCAATGTTGCTATCTTCTTCAAATCCGTCAGCTGTATATGTGCGTATTCGTTATCAAATTCGGATTGCTGTCTGCTTTGTTTGCGTTCGGCGGACTTACGCTCCTCGGGTTTCTCACGCAGTTGCGGTATGGTGCCCAGGTAGCTGATGAAAGCTCTGTGGAGATAGCAGCGAAAACAAAGTCACACTTAATTGAAAGCTCATATAACTAGCTGGTGAAAGCTCACTCACTCTCTGTCCAGTTTGAGCACTTCCGTGCCGGGCGCATCCGCATAAACACTCGCTTGCCGGCGGTCCGCATTGAGTAGCGCCTGCTCACCGAAATAGTCACCACGTTTGCGCCGATCCACCACACGCTCAACATTCTGCTCATTCTTCTTCTTGATGGTCACAGTGCCACCGCGAATTATGAAAAATTCATTGCCCACTTCTCCCTCTCGCACGATGCACGCATTCGGTTCGTAATATTTCTAAATTGAAGTAGTAAATAAATAAGACAAATTATTCAAGGGGAATTTGCATTCAATTCGCTTTGCGTTTACCCGCTGCAGCAGATCCACCACCTTGTTGAGAACCTCATCAGATAGATCTTTAAGGAATGGCGCCGCACGCAGAAAAAATAAATTCTCATCTCTTTCCTTCGACTCGGACAGTACCATAATTTGTCGGAATGTCTCACGTGTGATTTTCCAAACACGCGCATTTGTCGTTGCTGCATTGAGAAATTATGTCAGCTTCATTAGAAATTCCATCGCATACTTTCCATTTCCACGAAGTTTTTTGTAACTCACCTCTCACTGATGCCAAACGATTGGCATTGTAAAGTATTGCCAATTCACCGAATACTGTTGTCGGTCCAAAGCTGCCCACCACCTTGCCACCCTTGATCACATCGAAATAGCCGGTTTCGGAGACGTAAATTTCCGAACCCTCATCATTTTCATGTATGATGAAAGAGTCCTTTTCGTAGAATGTCGGCGCCATCGCATCGATGACCATCTCCTTGCGCTCTTTGTCCATGTAATTGTTAAGGAAGTCATTGCGTTCGATGGCCTTGCGTATGAGATTGCGTGTTCTGCATGCCAAGCGACGGATAAGCCAGTGTGTAAATATGAAAAAGACGAAAGAGAAGCGAATATGTGCGTTAGCGAATTGTGTCAGCATGCGTGTATGTGTGGCAATAAATTTACAGATATTTCGCTTACTCATTATCCTTTCCAATGAACTCGATGTGCACATCCTTCTTGGCGGGTAAATTTGGACGCGTGAATATGAGTCCTCCCTCAATGCGTTGCGCTTGAGGTCCGTTGCCGCTGTTATTACTTTCTTTTAACAAGGAGGTTTGGTCCTTTTTTGTGCGAAGATAGTAAATATATTTTGTGTTGATAAAATAAATGCGAGTGTTGAAAATTAAGATAACAATAGGGACAATTGAGCAATAAATTGGAGATCATTACTTGGAAGTGAGCTGTTACAGAAGGTAGCAATGTTAAAGACTAAAATTTAATGCAGTAAAAGACTATGAAGTCTCAATCAATCAGGGATGGCTTTTACGAGTATGGAAAGTTAGTGTAGAAAATAAGTGTTGTAATTTCTGAATAAGTTACCTCGAATAATACACCTGAATCACGACACAGCTCACTATCGATGGATACAGTTGAGCTATTGCTAAGGTTTAGCATCTCACTAAGGGTATAGAACTGGCCTTCAATGCTAAACTGGAGATAAGTAAAGATAAAATTTTGTATGCACGTGAAAGCATTAAATGTTTTATATCTGAAGATGTTATGTTATACTATTTGAAGTTATGTTATGTTATGTTATTTTATATTACGTTATGTTATGTAATATCTTATATTGTGCTATGTTATGTTACGTTATGTTATGTTGTGTTATGTTATGTTGTGTTATGTTACGTTATGTTATGTTGTGTTATGTTACGTTATGTTATGTCATGCTATGTTAATTTAAGTTATGTTGCGTTATATTATGTTATGTAGAGTTATTTATTTATGTTCTCACAGCGTAATTGACTTGCACATTAGCAGACGTAGACACTCTTTTGCAAACACAAAATTAAGAAAAGATATGGACATTTTATAAATCTGAACATAAGTAGTAATGCTTTTGAATAGAAATGAATCAATAGCGTTAAGTGGAAAGTGTTGTGCGTGGATCAAGATGCTTAAATCATAGCATTTTAGATCGAGGCTATGACTCGTACTTTCTAGAAATCGCATTCAAAATCTATTAAGTAAATTTAGCAAGGTGCTGCGAAGAGTTATTTAAACTCCTCCCTATATCACGTTTTCATGTCACGACGGCGGTAGCGATAATCAGCATCGCCGACACGGGTCCGAATGCTGTGGATCCTCAACTCTTCCTTTAAACACTTCAAGGCATCTGTTCGGAGCAATAATACTCGTCGTCATGGAGGGTTGTTAGAGTGGAAATGTCAGGTTCTCCTCGTTTGTTGCCAAATTTCTTGACACCTGAGTGACCCGGACCTTAGAAGCAACTTCTGGACATTTGTCTCTAAATGAATATATCACTCATGTCGCATTGGTGCCTGGCCATAGAGATGTACTGGGAACTGGCAAGAAAAAACACCTTTCACCAGTACTGCTCGAAATGCGGGTATTCCGCAATCTTCTTGCAAACTCGGGCTGGATAATAATTTTATCGAACGGGCAATGCAATATGGTCTGCGTAAGTCACGTGCAGGATAGCAAGGCACATTTGGCATAGGTTGGATAAGCGTGGATCTAGCCTCTACTCTACGACTAATGTCCGGCACTTAATTGGAGTTCTCACCGGGCATTGCCTGATAGGAACCCACGCTAGTAGGACGGGCAAGCAGTCAAACGACTATTATCGTAGTTGCCGTGATGGAGAAGAAATCGAAAGCGTAGAGCATTATTTGTTCCACTGTCCTGCAGTGGCGAGGGCTCATCGGCGCTCGTTTCTCCACAATTTCTTTGAATGTTTGGCTGAACTGGATTCAGCTTCATTAGGGCTACAAATTGGTTTAACTTCTAAGGTTTGAGAAGGGACATAAGGAGTCTATAATACGGCATGGTGATAGGTCTACAGTGGCTTTTGTATGCACATCTCCTGTAACCTAACCCAACCTAGCATCCATCCTTCCGGGAGTAAGCAGGGAACTCCACTAGGGTGAGTCAACTCGCCAAGTCTTGGCGACCGTACGAGTAAACTTTCCCTGACACACAATTTCCCTAGGAAAACCCAGGCGAATCGTATTCCAAATGCTTCATAAACTAAATGATCCCAAGTTGGATGTGTAGTTAGACAGAGGTGTGGTCTGTAAAGAGTTATCTACCAACCTCTTCCTCTTATCCAAGCTATGCAATTACTCTGTAGCTGATCAAACAGACGTAGCAGTCTTTGGGCGCACCTTTGGTGTTTAGTCAGCCCCGTGAACGCTGGACAGAAACCTTGCAATGCTCTTTTTGTCCACGAGTAGACTGGATGAGCTCATACAAACTTTTAAGCCTTAACATGGCGCAATAATCGATACAGCTGATAATCCTAACCGCATATATTTCGCTAGGGATACATACTATTTATTAGACTTAATATTATCTCAGTCCCTACTGCAGCAGTTGTGTGGAAAATGATGAGGAATCATCTTATCGACTACCTTCAGTTAGTCTGCTCCCATGAGTCTAACATTTTTAATAATATCCGGTTCCCCTTTATATGCACTCTAGAACATTTGCCTTTTGCGGTGACTCACCCAAAGTACATAATTACTTCTGCCCTACTGCTGATTCTTCTCCTTATATAAATTGTGTCAAAAAACCGACGAGGCAGCCATTCCGTCCTATCCTTACCTAACTTAGGCCTAGGTAACCACTCCATAATTATAGATATGTAGTTAATGTGTTAAAATCACACCTTTGTCAAAACTTTTATTTCTTTCTTTACTTTGGTGCATGCAAAACTGAAATCGTGAAAGAACTTACGATTTGCTTTAAAATTTCTAGTTTAAGCCACCCAAACTCTAATTCGCAAGGCTTTCACATGCATGAAACCACTTTCGCACGCATGAAAGCACAAAAGCTTTCTTCACAAGCGCCACAAAGCCCATTGTCAACAATACTCGTACCTAGCCAGCTATAATAGCTACTTTTCGAAACTCATTTGTGGCAAGCTATGAATGTTGATTTTGACTGTTAGCTCAAATGCTTTGTTGGCAAGCGGAACTGCTTCATGAGCTGCATTGGCAATGACGACCAAGACTTGGTGGCTTGGAAATTTCAAAACTGCCTCAAATTGTTGAACATATTTACCCACTACCAGCGGCATGTCAATTAAACTCGCTAAATGCCATCCGAAAAAACGCTGAAATGTATGAAGTGCATACACTAAACTGCAAACAGTCGCCATTTTCGCCCCCCTCCCAACTAGTTGCTCATAGTTGTCCACTTTACAAATATTTTGCGCTTACTTTGTCATTTGTTGCGCGATTCGCGTTAGCTGCTACCTGGCCAGTGCCATTCGTCGTCATATCGTAGCTCGGCGGGGTGACAAACTCAGCGTTGGCGCTAATGCCACCCTCCTCGATTTGTGGCGTTGCTGTGGTGTTGGCGGCGACCGCAGAGTTGCGTTTGCTTTTGTTGCTACGCAACGAAAGCAGCGAAGCGGACGATGAGGCAGCGGTGAGTGACTGCGGCGGCAATGGTGGCGGCGTTGGTATATGAACATCATCATCCGCAGGTGGTTCGTTACCGGCGCCGCAGCGCATTTTTCGACAACTTTTCGATCTCGATTTGCGATTAAACTGTGGGCCGTATAGTATCGGTGAGGAGCTAAGGCTCGTCGTGTGGTTGTAGTTGCGAAGTGGCGTTGCTTCATTGGCGGCTTGTGGGGTGAGTAGTGAAGCGGTGGTAGGGCTGTAGCTATTTTCTGCAACATCGCCATTTTCCAACTGCCTTCTTTGTTGCTGTTGTTTTTGCGGTTGTGTTTGCGCTGTTACCTCTTTTATGCTGCGACAGCTGCCCGCATCCAAGGAACGCGCGGATGCGTTGTCCTCTTCGTGCGACTGCTGGCCAATAAAGAATTGCACAGCCAGCGTGGAGGCCGGTGTGGTGGGTGTATCCAGGTCACTGGAGTTGCTTTTATAGCCATTAAGTTGGTTATCGTTGACATGGCGAGCTTCCTCGTTCAACTTTGGCGCTGCTGCCTCAATATCCTCCTCATAATTTCCCCGTTCTTCCTCTTCTCCTTCTTTCAAATTTGGTGCATCGCTTGGCAACGCAGTCGGCCGTCGTCCTTTGACAGGTTTTAGTTTCGTGTTGCTACCTACAATGGCTGCTGCTGAGTTGCTATAGATGCTGCTGTTGTCATTATTGCTTTTGTTGTTGTTGTTGCCGCTATTGTTGCGCCTGATGTTGTTTGCTTTGTTGAAAATGAATTTTTTCGGGCCCAAACTGTTGACATTGTTGGCCTGCGTGTTTACCAAGCTGCCATTTTCGCTGTTGCTATTTGTGTTGCTGTTGGTGTTGTTAATGTAGTTGCTGTCGGTATTGTTGCTAATGCGATTGTTTCGGTTGTCAATGATTTGCTCTTGTGATTTTTTCTGTTTTTGTTGTTGTTGTTGCAGTGTTTTTGTCTGCTGCTATGTCATTTTCGTGCATTTTCAATTCGAGTTTTGTTGAGTTGAGTAGTTGAGTGGTTTTTGTGGGTTTGCGTGTTTGTTGTTGCCGGTGTAGTTGTTGTTTGTGTTTTAGCGGTGTTGTTAGTTAGACGAAGGTAGGTATGTGTACAAAAGCAAACACGCACGCACGGCACATTCAAAGCACATAAAAATCCAGCGCATATACGATTGACAGTTTCGAGTGAGTTAGCATAGGATAATAGGCATTGTTGTATGTATAGTCATTAATATGTTTTTGTTGTTGCAATTGGAAGATGAAAAGAGATACAAGAGAAAGTACCATGAGTAGGAGTAACTGAAATGTGTTAGCAATTTGAGAACAGATTTGATGAAAAGATAATGCAAGCTTGTTAACATTATTCGGATACGTAAGAGTAACGGTAATTATCATTATAATAAAAATGATCAATAAAGCCGTTTAAATTGGATCTCTATTTTTTTGATCAAAATTAACCTTTACATGATGATTTTTATACCCGAGCGCACTTGTGCACAAGGGTATATTAATTTTGTTCACATAACGGTTGTTTGTAACAGCCAAAACGAATCGAGATAGATATAGACAAATGTATACATAAATGATCAGGATGAAAAAAGAAATCGATTAAGCCATGTCTGTCTGTCCGTCCGTCTGTCCGTCTGTCCGTCTGTCCGTCTGTCCGTGTACACGATAACTCGAGCAAAAATTGAGATATCTCAACGAAATTTGGTATGTAGGTTTCCCTTAATCCAAGGTAGGTTGGTATTGAAAATGGGCGAAATCGGACTGTAACCACGCCCACTTCCCATATAACGGTAATTTCCAGAAATACGAAAACTGCGATATTTTAGTAACTACTGAAGATAATTCACTCAAAATTGATATTTACAATAATTTTTAGACGAAAAATAAGAATATTATAAATTTTTGCAATATGGGCGTAGCCACGCCCACTTATGGTTACATGTGTATATCTTGGTAACCGCTGCACCAATTTCTTCTAAACTTGGCACAGTTGTTGGCCTTCGCACAACATACCAAATGGCCGAAAATTTTAAAAATCGCTCAATAACCACGCCTACTTCCCATATAACGGTAATTTTCAGAAATACGAAAACTGCGATATTTTAGTAACTACTGGAGATTATTCACTTAAAATTGATATTTATAATAAGTTTTAGACGAAAAATAAGAATATTATAAATTTTCGGAAAATGGGCGTAGCCACGCCCACTTATGGTTACATGTGTATATCTTGGTAACCGATGCACCAATTTCTTCCAAACTTGGCACAGTTGTTGGCCTTGGTACAGCATAAAAAACCGCCGAAACTTTTTAAAATCGGACAATAACCACGCCCACATCCCATATAACGGTAATTTAGAGAAATACAAAATCTTCGATAAATAATTAAATATTGAAGCTAATTTATTCAAAATTGATGCTTGCAACAATTCTTTACCAAGAAATACGTTTATGGTAAAATTTTGGAAAATGGGCGTGGCACCGCCCACTTATGATCACATATAAGTATATCGGTAACCGTTCTACCAATTTGTACCGAACTCGGTATGGTTATTGTACTTGCCACGAGTAAGCAAAACGTTGAAAATTATTGAAATCGGACTAAAATAACGGCCGATTCTCATATAACGGTATAATTTAAGAAATGCTTTAAACTTCAATATTTCGAAATTGAAGGACGCTAATTAACCCAAAATTGATACACCTCGGCTTACCAACTAGCGGAAGGTTTCGGAAGGGTGAAAAAACATATATTTAATACTTGCGCCGGGTATTTAATGTTCGGCTCCGCCCGAACTTAGACTTTCTTACTTGTTACTTTTACCATCAAGATTAATAGCTAGTTATTTTTGGCTTTTTATTTTTTCGAAAAATTTTTGATCGTTATTTTTAATTTTTTTCGACCATATTATGACCGTTATTTTCAGATTTAATGTTGATTATTTATATTGGTCGTAAAAATGGCATTATAATAGGTTAAAATGAAAAAAAAATTTATTCAAAATAACGATTATTCTTGATTGAAAAAAGAATCACAAAAGAACGATTAAATTTGAGCGAAAAAATAAATAATATAAACGACAATTTTGCAATGATCTAAAAATACAAAGTTAGTTGCATACGCCGACGACATTGTAATAGCTGTTTCGGGCAAAGACCTTCCAACATTAGCTGATCTAATTCAAAGATCTCTTAACAAATTATGCCTATGGCACAATAAGCGAGAACTGGGAACAAATTCTGAAAATACGGACCTAGTATCCTTTAGTACTAAGCACAAGCTACACGACTTTAATGCTATAACTCTATAGGGGAAACCCCTGTCGGTAAAAGTAAAAAACGGACTCATACTAGATAGGAAACAACTCTTATAGCAGGTCAATAGGAAAAAGATGGGGAATGGAACGCAAAATAATGCACTGGTTATAACAGCGGTAGTTAGGCCAATTCTCTATCACGGCATGGTAGTATGGTAGGACACCATTGGAAAAGCGGTATACTTTAAAAAGGTGGATAAAATCCGCACTCATGGTGCGATGAGAACAACACCATCTAAGGCACTGTATGGCCTACTTAATTCTTTTCCAGTATACCTAAATACATCCCAAACAGGTAACAAGTGTTGCGGCAATTCTTATGAATGGTCTAAGTAAGTGGTTAATTACCAGTTATGGTCATGGTAGGATACTAACGAAGTTTTCGGGGCTTCCCTCAAGGGAATAGTGAAAACGAGACGCTCTAAGAAGTGGCGAGTCCATTCATGTACACACAAATAGCGGAAAGCTTGAGGGAAGGGTTGGTGTGGGTGTATACTTAGAAATGCTGGTCAATTCTCTTAGCTTTCGTTTTCCGAATCACTGTAGTGCTTCTCAGGTGGAACTTATGGAAATAGACAGCGTCACAAAACTGGTAAAGTGTGATGTGATATCTGCATCTTCAGCCAGGCGACAATCAAATCTCTTACAAATAGTCGACAACCGCCATGGTAGCCATGAATGATGGCCGAGTCATTTCGCCTAAAGGTGATATGGATTGCGACATTGAGGGGAACATTAAGGCCGATGAACTGGCGTGACTCGGCACCAAACTACTTATTGGGGATATAAATGATGAAAAAGGAGAACGCTTACAAACTTGAAAACTACTTATTTACGAGAGGCTCACTGAAGTAGCGAACGGCAGATGGTATGACGTAATAACTTGCAAAAGTGCTAGGGAATTATGGCCGGTGCTCAGCGCCGGGGATCTTCTAAAATTCCTGCCGGATTCAAAATATGCCTTGAGCCGAAATGAGTCTTACAGACGATCACGACAACCTAAACTATTTCATGTTCTATCAAAAAGGTGGTCTCTTTTCATTTCGATCCTGATTGTAAGTTAGCGGGAGCCTTTGGCGATGGTAAACTCCGGAATAGTACACAATTGAACCATTGTCTAAAGATAACGTATATTAACAAGATATCTCTGAAGGAGCTATGGAGATGGAAATATATTTTAACGTTCAGGACTCCAGATAAGCATGCCCAGGCCCTTAGATCTCGCCTTTCCAGCAATCGGATTTCTTTAATTCCGGCTGGTACAATAAGGGATTTAATAGGCGCTTAAATGACATATTGAAACATGGTAGGATATTCTGCGCCCTATCATCATAGATAGTCTTAACACACGACTTCTATTGCGCATTGAATTGCTCTCAGTGAAGACCAACCCATTGATCACTTGACTGGAAAAGTTCGCACCCCATATAGTTTCGACCTTGATAACATATTCAAAGGCCGGTATCGTTTAGGTTGGTTTGTGTTGAAGTTTCTTACTTGAATCGCAAAAAGATTAGAGTGGATTGAGTAAAAGTGGTAATAAGAAAATGGTGCGCTAGGTCAAAAATGCAAGCCTATGTGGTCTGTAAGAGAACTTTTAAAGAGCAGTGCTCGTAACATAAACCTAGGTGTTTAAAAGGAAAATAGTAAACAAAAGTTCTACTTTAAACTTTTAAATTGTCAAACTAGATGACCCTCTCACTCCAGATGAGATGACCTAAAACTAAAGCAATTTAACAGATTTCATTGCATCAGAACGAAAAATGACACTGAAGATGGCGCAACGCTGAAACCGAATAAAAATTGATGAGGGCTGACGGACGGTTCGTTCCAAAATACATCAGATTTATTTGGCTTTGGCATTGGCAAAAGCGAAATTAACTGATTGAAAAATTTCGATTAAGCAACGAACAATTGCTAAATTTTTTGTTGTTTACTACTTAAATAATTTTCGGTTCAATAAACCCACAGTTTCTACAATCATACGAAAAGCATTTAAAAGTTACCACAACATTTACTTACTACAAACGACATAAAACAAAACTTATATGTAAATATGCAAGTACGTACATATATTTGTATAGCTTTATTTGTTTACTTTAATTTTCCATCATTCATTCACTTACCTCGCTTGTTTTTGGTGTAAATAGCGCCGACTCCTCGCGACGTATATAGCGGCCGATTTGCTGAGAAGAAAAGAAAATAAAAAAATTTTTGTTTAGAAAAGCGAATTAAAGCGATAAGTTAAATTACTTTTTACTAGCTAAGTAAGTGATTTTTTTTTTTTGATTTGTGAAATCTACATGAAACATGGGAGAGAGGAGCGCGAAATTTTTGTGTGGAATATTTGCAAACATTTGTGTATTTGGAATTTAATTTTATTGTTGTAATGTATAGAAGTTAAATAGTTCTTTAAAATAACTTCTTACTTTTATAATGTAATATAGGGCATGTTTCATATTTGCGCGATTTTCCTGATAACTTTAGGATCAGTTTGTAAAATGTTTTACTGTAATTTGTTAAAGTGAAATATTTTCATGTAATAAATATGTATTCTTTTTTTATTTAGGATTTTAAATTTTGAACATATTTTTTTAATTTTTCCTATTTTTTTCATTTTTGATAGTACGTTTGGTGGTAAAAAATATAATTTATGTATTATAAAATTTTATAAAGTTATTTATTCTTTCGAAAAATTATTTACTCAAAAAAATTTTACAAAAAAAATGTTAAAAAATTTTAAATTTGTAATGTACTCATTTTTCTCAACTTCTGTGTAAAAAAAATGCATAACTCAAATTATTATAGAGTTCACCCCGTAATACTACACTTAAATATTGCGCAAAATACAGAGCTACCTACCATTGTGATTTTTTTAAATTTTTTTTTGAGATGGCATATTTTCAAAAACTATTTTTGTTACCAAAAAATTGGTATGTGAAAACTTTTTCAAGAAAACTAATTTTATAAAATATTTATTTTAAAATTTTTTCCTCGCCCCGTTTTCGAGATATTTGGAAAACTACATATTAAATCGATTTGTTTTTGTTTTTGTGCTGTAAAGTTTTTAAAAATGTATTTATCAATCTCAAATTTCATATTTATTTATTATTTATGTTTGTGCATCAACCCTAAAAATTTGAAACAAATCAAACACATGTAAAGTCTGTGCATGTCAGCTGAATCCATCATATACATAGACATGCACCCATACATGTATATGGATCAAATTTGTGTTATTTGTTAAATTTTTTAATATAAATCTTTCCCTATGTTCGGATGTATTCTTCTAATCGATGTCAAATATTAAATGCCATTAAATCGTTTAATCATTTTAAGCTTACGAATAATTCTTTATTATTTATAACACGGCCACATGCTGAACGTACATACGTATGTAGGTATGCGCAAACATACACATTCACCTTGACCTTGAGGTTAAATGCCTTTGCGAGCTATCTATCAACATTGAATGCTAAGAAAAACAAAATAAAATAAAATAAATAAATAAGATAAATATGTAATATGAAAAGAACTCTTAATAACTGATGCATGCTTACTTACACATATGTATGTACATAAATTCATACATCTATATATATATATAAATGTATATGCACATTTACTATACTGTCTTGTTTACATGTGTATTAAATAAAACCGATAAATTGTTTGGTTGTTTGTTGTTTGTATGATTACGCTCTGCAATTTGTGATTTCATTTGACAACGATCCATCATTGACAACACATCAGCTAACTTACCTCTGGCAGTTGTTATTGTTGTTGTTTTTATTGTTTGCAGTATTGAATGCCATGGCGCTGCGTATATACACGTAGTACACCTACATACCCACTTATGCATACAGTTGACAGACATGTGATAAAAAATTGATTGCGTTCAGATAAAATGCTCATACTGGTGTGTGTGTATGTGTGTGCAAATGAAAGCCCGCATGTCCGTTTGTATGTGTGCTTAAAATTTAACTTGCTGTACATATTTACACTGCTATCAGTAAATTGTTGCGAAGATTTTTTTTCATTCTTTTCGAAACGCAAAATTGAGAAATGAGAAATGAAAAAAATTGCATTGAAGAGCAGGTAGCGCTTTCGTTTTGTTTGCTAATTTTCTTCCTATTTTATATGGTTTTATTTTTCTTTTATTCGAAATTGATAGATAGCACTCTTGTTTCACATGATTGACAAGTAAATAATATATGATGACATTGATTTTTCGTCATAAAGTTCAAACAGAAATTGCAAATTCATCTGAAGTCTTATTAGGAATTTTAAAAGGAATTTTAATTTAAAAAAAACGTACACGTTTATTTATTAAATAACGTTTCAAATGATTAATAGTATTTTGATGAAAAGTGAAACACAATTACAGTCATTTCGTTAGAAAGAAGACCACATAAAGCATGTTTACATACATATTTGTTTTTAATTCTAAAAGTTGGTATTCTATTCACGGCCGTGAAATTTCGCTAGAAACCCATATTCAGCCTTACCATGAGTTTTATTTTCCCCGAAGTGGTTCATTATTCATATTTGTTTTCCATGTTTTTACTATGGGCGGATGACAAATTTTCGGGTGAATTTTTTTTCTGGCGAAACTCAGGATAAGGCAGACTGTTTTCACACGAAATTTTGACGCACTAAAAAAAATAAGTAAGAAATATTAAGTAGTAGTAATTATAGAGAAAAGGTAATAGATAGAGATAGAGACTCAATCGGGGAACTATTCCTGAATTTTAGAGATTCTCGGGACTTATCGATATTATAATCGATATTTTGATCGGGTTTGTTATCGATATTTTTAATCGATTTTGTTATCGATATTTTCGGAGCTTATCGATATAATAATCGATATTTTTATCGATTTTGTTATCGATTTTAACAACTTTGTTATCGATATTTTTCATCGATATTGTTATCGATTTTGCTAACGATATTTTTTTGGAATTTCTGATCGATTTCGGTGTTGATATTGTTATCGATATTTTTATCGATTTTGTTATCGATATTTGTATCGATTTTGTTATCGATATTTTTATCGATTTTGTTATCGTTATTTTTATCGGTTTTGTTATTGATATTTTTATCGGTTTTGTTATTGATATTTTGATGGATGTTACTATCGATAGAGCATAGAGATAAAAATGAAGACAAAGGAAAACAGAATAACATAAACGTAATTAGAACGAACAGCGGTAGAGGTAGGGATCTAGATAGAAAAAAAATTTATATAGCCTTAAGCAAAAGCGGATGTACATACATATGTATATGGTTATGAGACCAAATAGATATGTAACACAAGTTTCGCTTCTCCAGTGTGGCTCAGACGCACTTTCTTTTGTGCAAATCGCAAAGTTCGAGAACGGCTGTGCCGATTTTTTTTTTGTTTTAATTTTTGGCACAGACTTTCCAAGGCTAAAGGAAAACCGATATCTAAAGACGGCACCGCCCATACAAGCGGAATTTTTACACTACATATCTCTGGAAGTGTTCATGGTAGAGTACTCGAACTTGGTACGAATATAGTATGTATGAAGTCAATCTCAAACTCATGGAAAATGGAGGTTATGAAATCAATTCCATAATTATGAAAACTGGGGGTATATGAAACAGGTCACGCACACCTCTGTAAGCATTTACCTAGAATACCGTAATGAGGTATTTTAATAGTGTCACGTTACTGAACTCGAGTTCCGAATATGTACGGCGTGACACCTTCCGAAACTGTTCTATTTTTACCAAGGAGATAAGCTGAAATTGCGAACGGTGTCAGCTGGTCAAAATAATAAAATCGAGCCATTCACTTGGGTGTTCGAAAAAGTTCTATGATAATTCATTCCTATGAAATATTCATCCGCAATTTTCTTACCAGTGAAATAAAATTTCACTATCGGTTAGGGTAAGGTTTAACCCCCTTCGTGCTCGCCGCTACTGAATTCTATAAACTGTCAGTTTTCACAAAATTTAAAATTTACATGTTGATGGACCTTTTGCATTTTAAGGTTACCTACATAGGTGTTATCACCGAAAATATTTGTAAAGGTTTGCCACCTATTTGAAATTAGTTCCAAACTAAATAAAACATAATACGGGTATCGAATGGAAAGCGGTTTTAAAATCCTCAGTTCAGAAATATTTTCGAATAGGGTTTCCACCTACTTTTATGGTGTATTTAAATATTTTTTTGTTTGTTTAGAAACAATGCTTTGTCTATATAGTAAGCGTTTCCCTTCAGGGTACTAGCGCAAGGTTGCCACTTTTTTCGGTTCTAAAAAATTTAACTAAAATAACTTAATATGGTTATCGAATGAAAGGTATTTTTGAGAATTTTAATGGAGAAATATTTTTGTTCAGGGTTGCCACATTTTTTAACCTTCATCTGCTATTCGCGTCGAAAACAACACAAAGCTAAACAACTGTTATATTTTTAACGGGCAGCTTGAAACTCATTAAATCTCTCGGTTTTGAAAAGCTCAATAATTTGCTTAATTTAAACTAGTTTTTGTTCTTTAAAATTAAATCAAAATTAAAATTTTAGTTTATTATTTCGTTGGTGGGACTACTTTTTATTCAGAATTTTAAAACAAATATTTTGTATGCAAAAAAATAATACTTGTTTTCGAAATTTGCCTTCCAAAGGTACTGAATATGGAAATTTTATCTTTTGATTAGACAGACAAAAACTTGGTTACAAATTCTCACCAAAAATAGTTCAATAGTAAAGCTGTCTCAACCGCTTTTGGACTGATGCCAATATTTTTTTTATCATTTCTCTATAAGTTTGTTACTTCATCCGACACCAAAGACTTCAGGTCAACCAAATTTTCGCCTATATCGTTTTTCTATAACATCCTTTCCCAAGCATCGAAATTTGACATATGTACAAACTCATTCAAGTTTGGTTTTATATAAACAGGTTAAACAGAATACGTTTTTTTTTTTTTAATATCTATGTTTTAAAATCTAAACAACAATTTATTTACAAAAAACCTTCATATTATCCTCTTTCATAGAAAGTTACGAATCTTTGAAAAATGTTTACCCAGATTTGTTGTTCAACCATGCACAATGGAGAACCAAACATACAGACAGCCTTAGCTCAATGTTTCGCAAGCGTTTTTGTTTGAGACATTAGATATGAACAGTGCGAAATTTAAGAATGTAAACAAAG